CTCTCTCTCTCTCTCTCTCTCTCTCTCTCTCTCTCTCTCCCTCTCTCTCTCCCTCCTTGTGTACCACCCAGATGTTTCACACCCTTCTATCCATGCTCTCCATGTTCCTTTGCCCTTTCCATCCTTTCTGCCCTAAGTTCTTTTTCTCCATACATATGCATGGTTCCTGCTCTCATTTCATTGCCATCTTCTCTCAAGAAGCCTCCCTTGGTTCTTCTTCTCCTTTTCCCTAGCATCTGATGTTGCTCATCTCCTGACTGTGTATTTCCCCTTTAGAATGTGAACTCCTGAAGAGGAGGAGATTTTCACATTAATTTACTTTAGATCCCCAGTGACAGGCACAAGACAACACTGGCTCAGGGGTCTAAGGATGCCCAAATCACCCTTCTTGGAGGGATGCAGGCCAACACCCTTGAGTCCCTCTTCTTGCCCCACCGTCCTTGCTTCCCCTGCCTCTCAGGGTGCCATTCATCCTGCTGAAAGCTGCTTCCCACTCATCACCCTCCTCTTGGCCTCCAGTGTCCCAGGTCTCCCCAGCCTGCCTCCTCCTTATCCAACAGTCTTTCCTCAGCCTCCTCCCCTTCTCCCTGCTCCTCCACAGACATGCAAAGACCAAACTCAATGCTCTTCCAGCCCTCCTGCTTCCTGCCCTTGTTTCCTGCAGCTGAATGAGACCGTGGGCCCCCCTGCCTCCCAGGGACCAAGCTCCTGAGTACATAGTCACAGCCTGGAATATGGGGTGTTTGCTGGCTTGCAGGTAAGAGGCTTCTTGTAGAGACCCCCAAGGCCTGCTCTGGGCCACACCTTCTTTTCCCATTCTCTTTCTTCCCATCCATTCACTCAGAGCACACAGATCTGTGGCTCCCCAGGCTTAGCATCCAAAAGCCTTTAATAATCCTAATCCTAACCACCCCTTTCCAATCCTGTTTTCTACCCTTTCCAGGAGCAAATCTAACTCTTGAGCCATTCTCGATTCCCAGGCTTTCAGTGCACTGCACACCTTCCCACCTGAGGCCTGGATCCCCACGTTGGTGGAGCCCCCCTCCCTCACCCCTCGCTGCAGGGTTCCTCCTCTGGCCTCAGGGCTATGTTCTTGGTCTTTCTTTTGCCAGGGCAGTGACAAGTTGTGCCCACCTTTCATCTGCTCACTTCTCTCTGAAGAAAGGAAGTGGGTCTCTTCATCTGTGGGTCCCCTGCAGGCTAAATTCAAATTAACTACAGAAATTAACACAGTACTTCCTAGGGTGTATTGGGTGAAATGCACCATGATGTACTCCACAAAAAAGAAGGGAGGGAGCGAGGGATAGAGGGAGGGAGAAGAGAACGATCAGGAGTGGGGGAAAACAGATGACAGGGGTTGTGGCTATCCTGTTCAAATAACATTATTGACCACCTTCTTGGATGCCCCACACACACCCTAGGAAATTAAATGATTTGAGAATTCCAACAGTTTAGAAATCTGTTTATCTTTATTTCTTACAAGTGTTCTCCCACCAGATCTGACTAATGAAACTTCTTTGTAGCGTTTACCCACTTTAACAAGATATTGGAGAAATGCTGATGGAAAGGATGCTAGTTTGGGGACATGTGGTGGCCACCACAGAGAATGGCTGTGACGGGAAAGTAGGTAGATGGGAATCAATGTCGGGTGGAGTCGTTTGATCCTAATCCTAGAAACTGAGCTTCTCAACCTTGGGCACATGTGCTGCACAGCGTGCCTTGGAAATTTGTCCCCAGGGGAAAGAGGAGGCACCACCTGTCACCTGGATCATCAGCGCTAGCTCAAGATTTGGTAGGTGAGAATGAGTGGCTATTTAATATTTGATAAGAAAAAAATCTGAAGTCATAACTAAACAATATACAAAATTTGGGTGTAATTTTCAGCTGAAATATTGATTTTTACATTGAATACTTCCTGCTAAACCCTCAGATTGTCCCAGGAAATAATACAATTACAAATCTCTCTCCTCTACTATTTGGGGATCTTGGGTGGGAAAGCATAACCAGCAGTAGGCAGCCAAGACCCTTCAGCTGGGCCATCTGGGAAGTCAAGGGGGTGTTCAGGAGATTTGTTGGGCAAGGACTCAGGGTGCAGCCAGCGGAGCCATACTCTGTTGTAAAGCAAGCAAATGGGGAAGAACAATGGCCTGGCCCACTGCCTGCCATGGCCCATGACGTGAGCTGTCTTTACTTCCGACATGGCAGGTGCAGTTCTGTAGCCAGACTGTAGAGCAGCAGCCCAGAAGGGACCTTCGGCGCCTGCCCACCTCCATGGCAGCCTGGTCATAGTGGAGGACTCTCCCCTCCCCACAGCCATGGGATACACGGACCAAGGATGTGGGTCTATTCTATTGTGACAGGCACAAGATGACACTGGCTCAGTGGTCTGAGGATGTACAAATCATCCTTCTTGGAGTGATGCAGGCCAGAACATAGCCCTGAGGCCAGAGGAGGAGCCCTGCAGTGAGCGGTGAGGGAGGGGGGCTCCACCAACATGGGAATCTAGGAGCCCAACTCCCTCGCCTCCCCTCTCCAGAAGCTCCCCAGATACAAGCGGGCCCTCCAGTGTAGGCAGAGGACTCACCCGTATCCTTGGGGGAAGAGGTACTGTGGCCCGTCTCCTGACATGGGAGAGGGGTCCCGAGGATTGGTGGGCAGCTTTTGTGGTGTCCTCTGTGGATACGGGTAGTTGGGCTGGACAAAAGGGATGTAGCTCAGCAGAGGGGTGTAGGAGGAGCGGAAGATCTGCTGGCCCATCTGCTGTGGGTTGTAGACTGTCACCTGTAGGTCAGAGAGGAGAGAGGAGTGAGGTCACCATCTCACAGCCTTGACCCTAAATTACCCACCATGCCTCAGCCTCTGTGCCCCTAGTCCATGTGGGCATGTAGAGGACAATATGAAATGAAATGAAAAACATCTAGGGCTAAGTGAGGCTGGCAATTTACTGAATTTATCTGAACCTCAATGGCCTCATCTGTAAAATGGACAAACATTCTGTCTTGAATGGGATCATGTTAGTTGAGAGGAACACATAGTAGTGATTCTACGTTACTTCCATCCTCTTCTCTGTCTTCTTTCCTTTCTCTCCATCAATAGCCATCCCTAGAGCTCCTTGTTCATTTTTAAAGCTTTCATCATCCCAAGCAAATCTGCTGTGATTTCCAAAGCACTGGCTTCTGCCTTACGATCTCAGCAGAGTCCAAGTTGCAGACGGCCCTGCCCAGGAAAAGTCTTGGCAGTGGTGGGAGTGGTCTGTCTGCGCTGTCCAGCGTGGTAGCCACTGAGCGCTGGGGATCCAGCTCATGTCAATGAGGAATGGAAATGGGAATTTCACTTACTTTTAGTTCATTTAAATTTACAGAACCACACACACCTTGATGCTGCCTAATCCGACAGTAGGAGAGTAAGAGAAAGGGTAAACAAGCACGAGGGCTCAGCTCAAGCCCAAAAGAAAGACAAGAATTTAGGGCAGTTCTGAGACTACCTTGAGTAAACTCTCAGCAAGAACTGAGCTCCTGTTCTGCTGTCCTTGACAAGGCAGGGACGTCCTCTGCCTTACTGACTGACACCTCCAGCTCCAAGACAGCACCTGGCATGCCATGGCTGCTCAATAAACATATGCCTAGTGGAAGGTTTGCCAGGGAGGAGAGAGGGGACATTCACACCTGTTTAAATACCTGAACTAACAGGGAGCTCATTACTTCTTGCGCATCATATTGCACTACTGACAAAATCAGAAACCCTGTCTCCTAAGGAGCCTGTGTCTACCTCTTGTGCACAGAGGGCAGCTTGAGTCAAAAACAAGGAAGCTTCTAGATTCCCACTCTACCACAAGATCTCACAGTCCTGGAGCTCTGGATGAGCCTGGTCAGTGCCAACCCACTCCAGCCATCATGCTGAATGCTTGGAGGCTGCCAGACCCTCACAAGGCTTTTCTCATTAAACCTCCAAGCTGCCAGGGAGGGAGGGCCATTGTTATTCCCATTTTGCAGATGAGGAAACAGATGCAGAGAAGTTGAATGACTTTCTCAGCGGGTGTCTCCAGTTGTGAACTGCAGTTAGAACTCCAGTGGGAGCTGGATGTGACAGCACGCTTCTAAAATCCCAGAAATGTGGGTAACTGAGGTAGAAAGATCTCAAATTCAAGCCCAATTGGGCAACTAAGAGACTTAACAGGACCCCATCTCAAAATTTAGCAATTAAAAAAGAGCTGGGAACATACTGTAGCACAATCCTCAGTACAAAATAAAAAATAATCCCACAGGCTGTGCTCGGATCTTGTGGCCCTCTCCAGTCTTGCGTGCTGTGCCAACTCTGCAAGCTGAGCCCCTCCCTGGTCTTTGCCACTGTCCCCCCAGCCAGGCCTGGCAATGCTGGGCACAGGCACGGAAACCCCAGGAGGGTGAGGGCAAGTGTACCAGGAGCTTACTGAGTGGCCACAAAAGGTCACCTCCTAGGGCAGGCCTCCATGGCATCCAAGGCAGAAACTTCCCAAGCCTGCATGACAGGAGGAAAAGCCTGGCACTAGGAGGGACTGCAGTGGAAGCGATGGCCCTCGGAGTACACACAAGCTTCATTTGAAAATGTAGCATGATTCCACAGCACGGACAAAAGCCATCAAACAGGGCTCTGTATACCGCTCTGAAATCATCTCCAGCAAGCAGCCGAGCAGCATTCCTGTGCTGCATTGGTACAGAAATGTTTATATAAATAGATGCTACTTAAAGAATATGTCAGAAACCAGTAAACAGTGATTGCCTCTAAATTTTAAAATTTTCTGGTATGCTTTTATATTTCTGTCTCCAACCGTACGCACATACGTGCACATGCATAATTGTCTAAAAATATTTTCTTTGAATCAGGTGGAGACATCACTGTTGGGGTGAAGGGGGATGTGGCTGGGTTTCCCTGAAGCAGATGTGTCATCCCTGCTTCACATCAGGATGTGGGAGGCTCCTCCTGCGACAAAGCAGTCCCAGCCCAGGTAATAAAGTGGCTTACACATGAAGGCCCATCTCTACCTTACCAAACATTTTGGAATATTCCAAGGAAGGAATCCAGTTTGCAGAGAAAGGATGGATCTCCCTAGGGAGAAAGGTGAGGCAGAAGAATCTGGAATGTGGATGTGGAAGTGTCCATGAACCTTTGTGTGAGAGGCAGAGCCAGCCTGGGAGCTTGGAGGTGTGGTGTTCAGTGCCCTCTGGGCTCTGCACTCCCAGCAACCTTCCTCACACCCCATCCCTGCATGTTAGGGTTTGTGTCTAGCCGTCCCCACGAAGCCTAATGCAGTCATGGGGTGACTTCTAGAGTCTGTGATTGATTCATGATCCAATGCTGGGATTAGGGTGTGCGTGATCCATGGTCCCTGGGGCTGATAGCCTGAGTACAGTATGAGGATGGGAGAGAGAAGCTTGGTAGCTGCTGCAGCAGCTGCGGCTGCTCCCTTTTGGCTCTTGTTGTTTTGCTGCTTTCCACTTCCATGAACTGCTGCCCTCTGCATGTGCCACTCTGCCTTGGAGCCAGCTGAGTATGGACTGAAACTGCCATACACTGTGAACTAAATAAACCTTCCCTCCTTCAGTGTGGGTATCGGGTATTTTGTCTCAGCAACAAGAGAAAAGTAACTGAGACACTGCACCAGACCAATATCCTCTGAACATGCACTGTATGCAGGTATTCACAAATGGGAGCTGAGGCAGCTCGGTCCATGTGTATGACTGTATTTCCATCTGCTTCTGAGTGTGTGTGTGTGTGTGTGTGTGTGTGTGTGTTTGCACTGCTGCTTCTACTGCTGTATTCTAATACTGTATTATTATGCAAATGTATGCAATAGGTGCTAAAGCACGGTAATTGACAGCACCAGGCTACATGGTCAGACCCCAGCTTCTCATCTCCAGCCTACGTGGGAACAAAATGTTGCCAGATGTACCAAATAAAACTGCAGTATACACAATCAAATTGAAATTTAGATAAACAATGAATAACCTTTTAGCATAAATATGTCCCCATCTAATATTTCAGGCATATGAGTACTTACACTAAAAATTTATTTATTGTTGATCTAAAGTTCAAATTTAGTAGGACCTCCTATAGCCTTCAGGACAGGACTGCGGCTTCCTGTTACCACTGATGCTGGCCAGAGCCGTGTGATTTGCTTTGGCTAATGAACACAGGTGTATGTTACCAAGTACCAGTTCTGCACTGAGGCTTGTGGAAGCCTTGTGAGTTTCCTCAGAGCCCCCCCTGTGCTTACTGGAGAGGCGACAGCTCCTGCATCTTCAGTCCAGCTCTGAATCTCAGCCCAGGTAAGCCAACCTTTAGACCCATGAAGAAGAACTGAATGTTCATTGTTAAAAAAAAAAATCCTGGAGATACTGAAGGCACTTACTCCCATAGCAAAATTTTGTGAACTGTATGGCTTCAGTCAAATGACTTAATCTCAAAAAAAATGACTTAATCTCTCTGTTTCTTGGTTTCCACATCTATAATCTATTCACAGGCTGGTTGTGAAGGCTCCATTAGTGCAGGTGGAGCCCTTAGAGAGGGACCTGGCCTACAGTGAGGGCTGCTGTTACCATCACAGAGGAACATTGATTTGTGTTTCCCACCCAGATCTGCATGTGTGTTCATCATGCCGGAACCACTAGTGGGCCAGAAAGTATAGATGGTGACCAGGCGGGCAAAGATGAAAAGGTCTGTGACCCGAAGGCCTTTACAGAGCTGAGACAGAGGAAGGGAGGTCATCTACTCACCTGCCGGGAGTAGCACCCTAGCTGAGGAGGGACAGGCTGCTGATAGGGCATCCTCGGTGATCGCTGTGGGTACATACCCTAGGGGGAGGAAGAGACAGAGGCTCAGCGCTGCCGGGCGAGCCATTCCCAACCAGAGCCTGAGCTGTGCAGGTTCATCGCTCTGTGCCCTACAGACATGCTGCTCCCATTCCAGTTAGGATTGAGTTGACCCCATCACGGTGTTGGCTGTAGCTGCAATCAGGCCAGGGCAAGCATAGTTCATGCTTCGCAGAAGACCCCATTCAGCAGGCATCAAGAATCCTTGGGGTGACTAAGACAAGAGTTTCAGGAGTCGGATGACCTCCTGGTTTGCAGGTCTGCCCCTGAGGTCTGCAGCTCTGTAGCTTTCAGCAAGTAGCTTCACCTCTCTGAGCCCCTTTTTCCTCACCTGCGGAAGTGTGTATTCAGGCCTCCGAAGCCCATGAAGACAGCTGCATTATTTTAGTTGCTATCTGCACAGCTTTTATAAATGTCTTTCTTGTCTGTCTCAGTGTGTGTGTGTGTGTGTGTGTGTGTGTGTGTGTGTGTGTGTGTGTCTGTGCTTAATTAAGTCCATCTGCATGCATGTTTGCAATGGTGTCCACATGTCTATTTCTGCATACAAGGTACAGCTTTGCCCCCGGGCACATTAGCCTGAGTTTCTGCTGCTCTGAATCTGCATGTCTGGCACACTCCTGTGCCTGCACCTTGTAGGGAGGGATGGAGCGAGGAAAACGAGTTAATGCACGTAAGGCGCTGAGAACAGTATCCAGGACATAGTAAGGACTCTGTAAATGTTAAGTCTGTCCATCATCTCTCACTGCACCCCCAGGAAAAGGCTCTCAGGCAGGGAGCTCAGCCAAATGGGAAATGGAAATTGTATACACAGCTCTGTCTGGGGGCAGGTGGGGTGGGCTTTTGTCCACACACAAGCACAAGATGCACACACTGCAAAACTATTGTGGGTGAGCCAGCCCATGACCCCTCCAACCTCGGACTATCTGCCTTAGCTGCCAATCCAGAGCTCCCCATCTAAGGAGGCTCAAAGACCAAAGTGGCTGTCAGTCAGGGACACCTTCTCAAGAGCATTCTGAACCCTACTGATGTGCTACTCCCATGCTGTGTGTGGCTTGTACCAATTACCAATGTAGTGACAGTTTTTCCTATGCTCTTAAGGACTTCCTCGAAGCCTGTGGTCTCCTGAAAGGCTCCAGAGCGTCTCACCTGGAGGTCCCCCTAACTCTCTTAGTGGCCCACCCTCCACATCCCTGAGAGAAAACAATCTCAGGCAAGCAGATGCCTTCCCTCTGCTCTGCAGTATGTGTCCCCAGAGACCTTTCAGCACCAAGGCTTCCTACTCATGTGAGCCCTTCACCTGAAACCAGCCCCCTGTTCCCTTCCCTCTAAGCTCTGCAACAGGGTAGCCTCACTCACCCTCATGACCCCTGCTGGCTCCTGTGACACTGGTCTTGGGCAAAGCCTGGATAAAGAAGTCACGCAGAGTGGTGGCCTTGTCCACTTTCAGCCCTCAGTAGCCACTGATGTTTGCTGAGTGGCCCCCTTGTTTTACCCCTTTCTGACCCCATTAGCACTTAATTCTGCCCGCCACAGCCAATTTCCCAAGGCCAGAGATCAGCAGGGAGGCCTCCAGGGTCCCCATGCCTTGTGTTCCAGGGCACCCTGGGATGGAGATGGGGGACATCCATTGCCCATCCCGGCCCCATCCTTGAAGGTGATATTGCCGCATTCATCAGTGTGAGCCACACGGCCTAGCTGTGAGGACGTTTCCAGTGATTCAAATTGCAATTTTGAAAAAATCCCAAGCAATGGTAAATAAGCATTCACTCTTCTTTGCTTGAGGCCATGGCCCTTCCCCACACAGTCTCTCTCCTTGATCAGAGCGGTGTTCTTTTATACTAAGCAGCCCAGGAGCCGCTAGAAAGCCTGACTGCTGGGGACTTTATCTTCCTGATTCTGAGTCTCCCCACCAAAGAGCTCCAAGCAAATTGGATCTGGGACCTCCTTTTTAAAATTTCTAATGCCAAACCAGGAAGAGACTAGGATAGGCCAGGCTCCGTTCTCCTCTCTGCTCCCTCAAGGTCCCTCTTTCTTGGAAGATCACAGTAGAATAATAATAAAAAGCCAACATCTCTATCACACTTTTTCATCCATGGACTCAATTAATTCTTACAACCAAAGCAGCCTGTGCTGCTGCTGCTGTAATTATGATGAACTCATTTCACAAACAGGAAGCCAAGCCTCAGAGCGTTAACTAACTTGCCCAAGGCCACACAACTTGTAAGCAGCAGAGCCCTTATACCCGAGTCTCCCCGATTGCAAAATCTGCCTTCTCTCTATTATCCTGGGGCCCTTGCTCAGCTGTCTTGAAACTAGGTAGCATTTATGAAATGAAGAAGCTGTGAGAGGGTAAATCAAGCCATCTTCTGTTACCACCTGGGAGAGTCCACTCCTTTTACAGCAGGCTTCGGTGGGGCCCATTTATAGAGCCTGTGGATGCTTCCACCAGACCCTTATCTTGCTTCTGTCCATAAACTACAGAACTTCATTATAGTCACCCTGCAATGCAAACCCCAGTGTCTCTGAAGACAGGGTCCCTTCATGCTCAGGAAGTACCTCTGAATCTCACCCACTTCAACAAGTCAACTAAGAAGGAATTAACATAGCAAAGAGATGCCTTCCCCACTTTGTAGAACAGACCACTGCCAATTAGCTTTATACAGTGAGCTCTCCGAATGCATTGTAGAGTGAATAAAATGATTCACCTGTTTCTTCTTTTAAAGGTTGAGGTGCAGTGCCTAGGTCTTTGATTTAGTCCTGAAGTGGCACTAGACACCAAGTTTCTTTCTCATCTTAGAATCTCCTCACCTAGCATAATGCTCAGGGAGTAAGCATGGGACAAAGGTTTTTTTAAATTGTAAAGCAAATGACTAAATAAATAGACATTAGCAAATTATTGCATAGGTAAATAGATAAACAGTGAATAAGCAGGCCCCAGATGCAAGGGGAGAGGTATAACAGTGACGGAATCAGTGAATCAGTGAGCAGACCATTTCCCTCAAGACTTGTGCAAAAATAATAGTGCTAATTTGAAATTGACAACACTTACAGTTTCCTCTTTATGGATCTCTTTTCATTTTCATCTCTCATTTCAGTTGAGGGAGGTAGGATTTTTGTACCTGGCCTGAAAGTGATACTTGTCCTTTTTAGTAAACAAACAAGCTTAAATATAAAACTGAAAAATCCAGGCTTTGCTAAATTCCTTTAAGATTCAGGAGCTACACACAGGGAACCAACTCAGAGAGAGTCTTTATATGCAAAACAGAAAATTTCCCTGCCTGCACAAGACATCTAAGCCCTAAGGCTGTTGCTCTTGTAGTGGAAGAAATGATGCAGGGTACAAAGGGGTAGTGAGAGGGGAAAGGACATAGAGAAAGACAATCCAAATGTTGGCATGTTTCCTTCTCCGTTTTCCCTTTCCTGGCATTGCCAGGCCAAAGTGGGGCAGGGAATCGCCAAAGTCTTGGACACACAAGTCCAAGCCCTTATGCTTTCCCCACCCAACTACATGCCATTCTGAAGAGGAGCCAGGAAGGGGAGCAGGAGCCTAAGAAATCTTACATGCTAAACATCATTCCTGCAAAACCTGAGCACTATCTAAAGGGACTGTTTAAGTTATTGGATTGAACAAAGGCTTAAACTAGAGTGGACATTTATTTGATTCTTCCCTCCTTCTGCTGAGTGGGTTGCAGCTCTTAAGGGATATTAAGCTAAATGGACAAAATAAAGAAACTACATTTTCCCTGCATAAGTAAACTGTGTGTTTGTGTGTAAAATTTCAAACTCTGCTCCAAGTGCTTCACCATCCCTTTGTGTCTGGCCACTAATTCCCTCTGAGCTAGAAGCCAAAAACCAAGAGCATGTGCCTGGCCACCTTGGCTGATCTAAATTCTGGTTTCTTGGATGTGGTTTAAATAAAATGGTCCTAATCTATATCCAGAGTATGATATTTGAGAGTGAACAGAGGGTGCCATAAATAATGACTCTCAGACAAAAGACCTGAACTGGGATTGCCCTAAGTAATCTAGTACGTACGCCACAGGAGCAGGTGAGAAACAAAGACCACGACATCCGTTCTATCTTAGTACCTAACCAGCTAGAGATAGCAAAGAACTCTGGAATAAACCACCCAGTGTGTACTAGAATTTAAGTAGCAGGAAATCAAAAAGATACATGTGCACATGGTATATACCTAGAGGTTGGCTTGATGTGGTCACAATGAAAACAATAATGGATGTGATCACATATTGATCATGTCTTATGCTGTCCCCATGGTGGATCTGGAGTATAGAGATGGCATTCCAAGGAAGCCAGAGGCATTCTGGGAAATTGGCTTCTGACAAGCCACACCTGTCTCACCCTCACTCCCCCTCCCCCCCGCCACCACACCAGAATGCACATGGATGCAAATACCCCACTACCTGAGGAAAGCCAGAGGCCGCCACCTACCTGATACTGTGGGAAGGTAGAGTGATTGGTGAACATCGGTGGAGGCGGGCAGTTCAAGTTGAACCAGAGGGGCTGGTTCATGGTGGTGGAGGTCAAAGCTGGGGCAAAGCGTGGGGTGAAAACATTCCCTGTGTACTTAAGGTTATTCTTCTCTGTAGGTGTTACCAGCGGGTTAACTGTAAGTCACAGGAGAGGGAAATCTGTTCAGTGATTGAGGCAGGCCAGAGCCCACTCTGGAGAGCTCTGCTCTTAGGAGTCAGGTCATCTCATCTCTAAGAGGTCCTTCAAAGGTGTGGTGAATGACCAACTATAGCAAACATTTGAAAACCCCAGTGCAGTCTTGCTTGGAACCTGCCTTTCCACCATCCCTAGTGAAGGAGGCAGGTTATCAAGGGAAACAATAAACCAGATTGCTGTGGCTAAATTTCACCTACAGTGTTTACAGAATCAAATTCTTTCAAATGCTTTATGAAAATTTCTCTTTACATAAACAAATGGTATGTCATTTGGAATTCAGATAATTAAGACAGCTTCCAACCAGTGTCATACACTCATCAGGACCGAGTGTTGCTCTAGCTCTTACATCTATATTGGAAACTTTTTGTCCTTGGGTTTCTCTAAATTTCCTAGGCTGACCTTTAACTTGAGATCCTCTTGCCTCAGCCTCCCAAGTGCTGAGATTATAGACATTTTCCATTATGTTTGATTGAGAGTCATTTTCTCTTTAAAAACCTTAAAACATTCGAATAATTTAATGTGGAATGACTCAAAATTATTCTAAAAGAATGAAGTGAGGTGGAGTTGTTTCCAGGTAGGAATCCCAGAGTCCTCTCCTCTAAAAGATGTCTTGCAGGTTTATGCAACCATAAATGGGTCCTCAGTTTCCTGCATATTTGCGTCTTCTTGAAAAACAATTTTGATTGAAAAATACATAGGAGGGCAAGGGAGAAAAAACAGGGACATGAAGAATCACAGTATAGGAATAATCATTAGCTAAATCAAGATGGTTTTGACTTGGGAACCTGAGAAGCTACTATACATAGTCCGGGTCGGGACTATATTTAAATCACTGACAATGCCTGTGAGGCCCCTGCAAGCAAACTACACTTCTCTAACGATTGTATTCCTAAAAAGGGACCTGGAGGAAAAATCATTTCCCCATTTTATGGATTTAAAGATTCTGACACCCAAGGAGAACCTCGATGCTGGGTAAGCCAGAGCCACTGCTGGGCCTGACAGTCTCTGGAAGCCCTTTCTCTGCAACCCTGCCATGGGTGGGGTATGCTTACACTTCAACTCCAGCCCATCCATGTCTGCTTTGCTGCCAAGCTTCATTTGCCCACTTGGGTTCTTGGTATTCCCAAGGAACTCATAGAGCAGGTTCTTCTCAGCTGGCCATGCGGGCTTCTTGGCGGGCATGGTGCCCACAGAGTCACTGTGACTTTCCTCACCACAGGTGTCCTTCTGAGTCTGAGGCCATGGGCTGAGAAAGAGGCCCTCTTGATTCTTGCTTGGCTCCTTAATGCCAGGGTTCCATTCTACAGCAAGAGGAAAACTGAGTCAAAGCTTCTGGAAGACCAAGTGATGGATCCAGTGAGCTACCTTCTTCTGGACTAAAGGATGGCTCCTTCACAGCACACTGCTGGGGCTCACCCAAGTCTAGGGATTCTTGTTCAGCCAAGGACAGCCCCAATATCTCCTGGAAGCCTTCTTTCATCACTGCCTAGTCTGACCTTCCTGTCTCACACACCAATCCATCCATCCATCTGTCCGTCCATCCATCCATCCATCCATCCATCCATCCATCCATCCATCCATCCATCCATCCATTTGTCCATCCATCTGTCCATCTATCCATCCATCCATCCATCCATCCATTTGTCCATCCATTCATCTGTCCATCCATCCATCCATCCATCCATCCATCCATCCATCCATCCATTCATCCATTTGTCCATCCATCCATCTGTCCATCCGTCTGTCCATCCATCCATCCATCCATCCATTATCCATGTTTATCTTTCTTCCTTCCTTCCTCCAGCCTCCTTTCTTTCTCTCCTTCCTTCCTCCATCCCCTACCTCCCTTTCCTTCCTTGTCTCCTCCCTCCCTTCTATCCATCCACAGCATCAGCCTGGGGATGTAGGGATAATGTTCTTGCCACCAGGGATCACATGGCTCATGGAGAAGACACCCATCCCAACAGAACACGCAGTCAGAGCCACACAGCTTGGTTCCTCATCACGGGCTCTACCTCTGCTGTGTGGCTCAGAGGCAATCCAGCTCACTTGTCAGTGGCAGGCCCTGCCCTGAGTGCTGGGGACACAGTGATGAGTCAGAGCCAGACTCTGCCCTGCAGGAGCTCACAACAACCAAGAGGAGAGAGACATGCTGGAAATAGCTCCAGGACAAGGCAGATGGGCAGCATGAGGTGACAGAGGGACACAACATGTGAAGGTTCTGGCTGAGAGAGTCCTTTCTTCTCAGAAGGAAGTGAGGTTTCAGCAAGGCCTTGCATACAGGGCTGTTGGGGAGGGAGGTGCAATAGGCAGGCAGACTGGGAAGCATCAGAGGGATTGGTAAATTGCTGGAAGTGATGGGAATATTCTAGAGGGATGCAATTCAGGTATTGTTCCAAATAGATTGAGTATTCATCCCCAGATATAAGAATATTGTCAGCACTATGCAGTGGTTCTGCTCCACAGTGCTTCCACCCATGTGTCCTTTTAGCCCTGGAATGATTTCAAACAAAATTTTCAAACAAAATTAAGTGTGTGTGTGTGTGTGTGTGTGTGTGTATGTGTGTGTGTGTGTTAGAATGGATGAAAAATATTCTAAAAACACCGCACCTTTACTGAACATGTACAGACATTTTTCTTGTCATTATTCCTTAAATGGTGCAGTAAAACAACTATTTACATAACATTTACATTGTATTAGGTTTCATAATTAATCTAGAGATGGTTTAAAACAAGTAGGAGGATATGTACGCAGGAGGATGTGCTCTGGTTAGGTGCCATTTTGCACAAGGATCTGAGTGCCTCCAAATTTTGATATTTAAGGAATGGTCTTGAACTATAGATACGTTATCCTGGTTGAGGGGCCCTGCACTCCCGTCATCCTTCACTTCTTCTCCTTTGTGGTGGTCTCTGAATTGTCCACTGAGGTTGGCCATGAGAGTCACCTGCCTGCTGAATAGCCGCGCACTGTGCTAGACACTGCAGGTACCTGGGAACCTCGGTTGCAGCCAAATCAGAGAACTTGGGCCTCAGGGCTAACCTGCTGGAAGTGGACTTGATCCCACCAGGTCTTGGACCCCCAACCCAGTGAGGTGTTTGGGACTAAGTTTGCTTGGGACTGGGCCTGTCCTAGTACCATTACAACAAAGGAAAGAACTAGGCTCCAGTCTGGGCCAATTGAGGAGACAAGGACAATTTTAGCAGAACTTGTCCCTAGAGTCTCTTCCAAGACTTTCTCTAGTTGCTGAGTGTAGCCTCTAGCTAGTGCACTGAAATAACATACCAACTAATAATAGCCCATTCCCCAGAGGCATATGCACCTACAACCTGTCTCACATGGGCATGGGAGTGAGTGTGTGTGTGTGTGTGTGTGCCAGCACATATGCACACACACACACACACACACACACACACACACACCTGCCTATCTCTCCTTTCCCTCACTCATATCACCATATCCATGACAGACACGTAAGCCAACAAACACATGCACACAGACACATGCAGATGCACCACTCCTGAATTTTCTAACAAATGCCCTCCCTCTGGCAACGTTTCCTTTGGCGCACCTTTGCTCACATTTGAGCACAGACACAAATGGTGGAAGCCTGTGTGGGCAGGACCGTGTCCAATCCTGCCAGTCCACCCAGCGTACAGGCATCCATGAGTCCTTCCAGAAGGAGTAGGAGGAGAAAGAGAAGGAGGAGGAGGAAGGTCTCTGGCCCTTAGGTAAGGGCTTAGTCTTCTCCCTCCACTGCCAGCCCGTCACCCAGAAGGTTCTACCAAGCCTCCCCAGCACTCGCTCCAGCTTCCTGTCCCTGACTCCAATTCCCCGAGCTCTCTACAGTGCTCCAGAATACAGGATATCCTTAAAGGTGACCTTGTTTTTGTTTTCTCAGGGAGATGGATTTGGGTCTTTTGGGTGTGACCTTCTCTTGGTCACACACCCATGGGCACAGTCTGAGGGTCAGGGTTCTCACAGTTGGCATGAACATGATCTGCTCTCCTAGTGACTGCTGCCTGGGGGTGAACACCACTGCCATCCATTTGTCTCCTGGGGACCATTCAGTCTGACAGCTGGATTAGCCCAAAAAGAAGGATCCTGGGGGTGGGGGTGGTTTGAGGTTAGGAGGTGACTGCATTTCCTGAGAAGGGTATGGACTCCTTGACTGAGGGATAGGAAGGCACTTTTCTGAGCCCTCATGCCTAATAACTTATGCATTCCCTTCCTGCCCCATCTGAAGTAGATAGGTTGCATGGTCAAAGCAGCCACCTCCATCGCAAGCCAATCAAATCAGAGGGCCTCACTGGCTGCAGTGTCACCTAGAGCCTTCGTGTGCTCTAGATACCCGGTGGAGTCCCAAGCTGAGCCAGTTCCTACAGGCTCCACTGCAGGGTGCTTATCTCTCTCAGAGTGGGTTGGGCTAGGGGCTCCACACTTGCTCACGCAGCCCTGCCTGCCCTTGTGTGTCCAGCGGAGTCCCTGCACCTGGGAACCTGTGCTGCCCTGCACCTGGGAACCTCCACTCGCCAGAGAGGCTGCTTTGTCCTGCTTTGCACAGCAGTGTCCTGTGCCTGTGCTGTGGCCCTGCCTGGCTTCCTGGGAGGCTATCCTTGCAGGGTGCTCTCTGCTGGCTCCCAGTCCTACTCACCCATCATATGACGCCCCTCTGTGGCGGGGTCAGCTTCAGTCTTGGAACAGATCTTGGCAAACACTGGGAGCTGCCTCTTCTGGGCAGGGAGGTCAGAGAGCTTGTCTGGGGGTGCAGGAGGAGGTGGAGGAGGCAGGAGCATGAGTGGGCCCAGCCCCGTGGGCTCTCTGAGTCCACAGCCACTGAAAATGTTGTTCTGCAAGAAGTCCTTGATGACCTTTGTCTCCTCCAGCACCATCTTGTTGTCAGGGGCTTTGGACACTTCCGTAGACTTCAGTGGAAACTGGGCCAAGAGCTTACTGATCTCCGAGCTGCAGTCACCCAGGCTGTGGTCCCCGTCCTTCGTCTCCTTGGCACTCCTGACCTTGGTGGCACGCAGGATGCCTGTTACTGCAGATAGGGCAGAATCGCAGTCCTGCCGGCTGCCAGTAATGGACACAGCCACCCTCTGCTCCTTATGCTTGTCACCAACAGTGAGAGAGGCACCTGAGCACTCACTGCTGCTTGCCACCAGAAGAGGCGCGAGGACGCAAGGAGCCAGCTCTCTGGTCCCCTGGGAATCATCACCAGCAGCCTCCAGATCCTCTGAGCTCTCTTGGACCAGGATAAGGTGCTCCTTGGTGAGGCTCAAGAATTCCTGCTCCACCAGGAGGGAAATCTCATCTCTGGCTCTGTTCAGCTCCAGGGCTCTGCAAACAAGTCAGAGAGACAAGCAGGGTTAGTGCCCACTCCCCCAGGGTGGCCCTGCGGCAGGACAGGACTTGTGTCCCAGCACAGGGGGCAAGGCATGAATGATGAAAATTACTTTCCTTTTGGAGGAAGTGTAAAAAAAAAAAAAAAGTAAAAAACTACGTTTGAGGAAGCAAAAGCCAACTCCTGAGGGGGCTCAACACCACCCGATGGGGCATGGCAGCGTCCTCGTATGTGTGCACAAAGGCAGGAAGGCACAGGAGTCACATGATGCCCCACATGTACCCCCCCCCCCCCCGTGGGTAACAGTCCACCAGAATGTAGACAGTGACACACCTAATGTCTTCCCTGTATAAGCCCTTTAGCTGCTGGTTTCTGCCAAAGCCCAGGGTTCGAGGGCACGGGCTGGTACAGAATGCTGCACCAACAATACATAAAGTGCGTATCCACAGTCTCACCCTCAAGGCCACTGGACCTCCTGGCCTCAGCCCTGCGGAAACCTCCTGGGTGTGGAGGCAGAATGCTGCAAGGAGCAAGCTGGCTCTAGCCAAACAGACTGGACTTAAAGCTGGGGTACCACTCCTGTTACGGTTTGTATCTAGTTGTCCCCCCAAGGCCTCTTGTAAGTCATGGGGTGGGCTTCTAGACTTTGTGATTAATTTGTGATCCATTGGGATAATGGGTGTGAGTGCTGTTGGGATTATGGGTGTGAGTGCTACACCCGGCCTGGGACAGATAGCCTGAAGGCAATATAAGGCAACCGGTCTTGCTCTCTGCTGCCACTGTTGCTGCTGCTCCTCCCATTTGCTCTTGCTCTTTGCCACCTCCATGAATGGCTGCTCACTGCCCTGTGCCACTCTGCCTTGGAGCCAGCTGTACATGGACTGAAACCTCCACTGCCTGGGAGCTAAATAAACCTTTCCTTCCTTCATTTTGGGGGTTGGGTATTTTGTCCCAGTAGCAATAGAAGAGTCCCTGAGACAACTCCTTATGCCATGCCAGGTCCTTCCTGGGAGAGGGGTATGATACCTAACAACTCTTGGGATCTGTGCCTGTGGATGTCTGGGAGAACTCAGGAGGCAAGCCACACAGGAGCCCACTCAGTAAACAAGGCTGTGAGCAGGAGCTGATGTTGGGGCGGGCACACACCTGGAGGTGCCCTCAGGCTGGGTACAACACAGGGCCAGGTCCTGCTCCTGATTTTCACTTTCCTTCCTCTCTCCCTTGCCCTTTCACTCACTTCCCTCCTTTAGTCTTCTTCTCTTGTCTAGACTTAGGGCCATAAACAGGCCTCACTCTCATTGCTGTACCCCTGGGAACAACCAGGACAATGGGGCTGTCCACCCAAGGTCCCGAGGTTCATATCTCTGTCTTCCTTCTCCTCTTATCTCTTCCTCCTCAAAGGGAACAGGTGAACCTCAGTCCAGAAATCCACAGCTTGCAGGATTCAGTTCTGCCTCTCCTCCTACTCGCAAGACCTTGAAAAGCCAGCTAGGTGCCAGTTACTACTCTTCTGAATTAGAAAGACTCACTATAATTTGTTAATTTTTATTATTATTATTATTATTATTATTATTTTGCATTTAGCACAGGGGATACAGGGTTTAGAGGGTCTCACTATATAGATCGGACTTCTGGTGAGTCTCCTGTTTTCAGCCTCCCAAGAGCTGGGATTACAGGTGCATGCCACCACTCCCAGTCTGAATCGCGGTCTCAGCAAGCCCAGGGGGTGGGGCTGGCATGGCAGGCCAAGGATCAAACCCAGGTCCCTGCATCTGCCTAAACAGGTGATTTAATCCACTGAGCCATCAGGCTGGCCTAATCTATTAGTTTCTAAACTGTAATGATAGTATTGTGGTTATTTTCCAACCACAGACAAAGGGAGTCCTTATCGCTCAGGGATGTGCATCAAAGTATTTACAGATAAAATTATGTCTGGACTTTCCTTTAAAATTAATCCAGCAGCAGGAGAGAGGGGATGGGGATCTAACAGCTGAAATAAGACTCATTTAACATGACACGCATTGATCATAGTAAAAACTGGAGATAGACATGCGGGATCGCTGAACATGATTCACTCTGCTTTTGTCTGTATTTGGTTTCTGTTTATTCACTCAGTTGTTTGGTTTTTGTTTGTTTTGGTTTGATCTGGTTTTTGTTTTGTTTAGAATACTGGAAATTGAACTCAAGGCCTAAAACATGGTAGGAAAATATTCTACTACTGAGTTAAATTCCCAGCTTTTTGTATTTTTTATTTTGAGACAGTTTCTTGCTAATTTGCACACGATAGTCTTGAACTTGTGATCCTCCTGCCTCAGCCTTTCAAGTAGCTTGGATTACAGGTCTGTGCCATTAGGCCTATTTTTTTTTTTTTAATAAAAATGTTACACATACATACACACACAAATATACACAAATACACGTACACACACAAAATGTTCACAGCTGAATTCTTTAATGCAGCAGCTCTGATGAGCAGAAAAACAGCTTCTAAAATAGGCATGGGGCCTTGAATTCCCTCTACCCAAAATGCCCCATGTGTGTCTCAGGCTCAGGCTCTACCACTCCAAATGAGGATCCAGGCAGAAAAGCTCCAGTGGGTGCTGAATGTGACTGTGGCGCTGCCCCTCAGCCACTGCCGTCTGAGCTTTGTATTTCTCCTCTGTTGAGTGGGATTACACCTACCTCTCAAGACTAGACTGTGAGGATGCTCTGAGATAAATTATGCAAAATGCTTAGCAGAAGCCTGGCTCATACTAAGCCCTCAAGGAACGTTCATGGCATAATTACTATAATGTTATTATTGGTGGTTAGATCTCAGCTATGACATGCCCGTATCACCTCTGTACACCTTCCCCTCTCTGCACCGCTACTGGCACCTGGAGCGATGAAGGCACCTTTTCTGCTTCTCTCTCAGCTCTTGGGGCATATGAGGAAACACTCTCATCATCCTCCCAGTTGCAGTCACCTCCCTCTCTCTATTCTGAATCCATGGTGGCTCTCAGGGGCATGACTTCTGGAATCCATCCAAGCTGGTCATTCTCCTCTGGACACATGACAAGTGCCTTGGAAAGCTAGTATTCCTAGAAGCAGCAGCACCCTCCATGTGCTCCTAGAAGCCCATCTCAGGCGCCACTTGCCATGAAGCCACTGTGCGCCAACTGGAAGCCAGGCAGCCACAGGCATACTCGCATTCAATCCTCTCCACACTCCTGAGCAGCAGGCAGTGTCACTGCCTCTGCATGGATAGAAAGAGTGATCCTGAAGGGCCAGGGACTTTATTACTGTGCTAGAGAGGAGGCTCGGGTGGGGACGGATCCAGCTGTCCTCTTCCCCTCCTCTGGCTGACTTTTCTGGAGAGTTCTCCGGCAAGTCCTTCTGGCACCCTGACTGGGCTTTGTTCCTTAATCTCAATGCAATCAGGAACACTGCTGCTCCCACCCCGTCACTCCAGCCAGGGGAGGATCATCACAGAATCTTGAGCCCGTCATCCGTGGCATTAGCTGTCCCTGACAGCTCTGTGTCAGCTGCATGTCTGATGAGTGTGTCTGCTGAGTCTTCCGCCAATTTACAGATAGAAATGTTCAACAGGAGAGAGCCTGGGACAGCGCCATGAAGACGGTGCTGGAGACCCTCTTCCCAGCCTGACAGTAATCTCAGATCAACACTTCGGGGGAATAAGTCCATCTAGTGCTTATTATCCTTTCTCCATTCTTCCATGAGAGCGTTTATCAAACATCTGCTCTCACGCAATCAAGATTCCCCATGTGGTTAGAAATCCCTGATCCTGGGTCTCCCCTACCTTGCCCCCCACATCCCTAAAAAAATAAAATTGGCTTGTTCTTATTTGTTTTAGAAAACTATATGCCCACAGAGCTAAGGCACTCTGCTTAAACCATCCCCCAGCTTAAAATCCTCTTGTGTATTCTCATTATACACAGGATAAAACCCAAACTCCTTTAGGATCCCTGGGATACTAGAAAGTGACCCTATTACCATCTTCTCCCAGGTACAAGGCTTTCATCTATTCCCTTTTTTTTTTTTTCATCTATTCCTTGAAAGGCCTAGACTGTTCCAGCCCCAGGAACTTTGCACTTCCTATGAAATGCTTCTCCACTCTGCCCACAGGTTGTCCCATGACTGGCTTATTATCACTTAGGCCTTGATTCAAGTGTCATATTCTCAATGAGGTCTTTCCCAATCATGTTTTTTTTAAAAAAAAAAAGTCCCTCTCTCACTTACCAAGTACCATTAGTACATTTATTTTCTTCATTCATAGCATTCATCACTATCAGGGTAGAGTATCATTTTTACATCATTATTCCCTCTAACAACATGCACTCCAGGAAAGCAGGGATTCTACCTTGTTCATTACAGAGACTCCCAGCCTATAACAGAGCTTGGCCCATAACTCCAGCTCTGGAGTGTTGGCTGAATCAAAAAATGAATGGCCTCACTTGCCTCTACCCTTGCCCATCACCCTGGCAAATACTATCGTTCCTCTTCCGGGCCAAACTATTCCAGTTCCTCCTGCTGGATGCAACCTATCTGGATTTGGTTCCATTTAATGGATTTCCACCTCCTATCCTACCTCTGACCTGACATCCCTGAGAGTTGATCAGGTGACCCTAACCATTGTAGTTGGCTTGGTCCTAAGAACACTCAGCCTTTGCAAGACAGTCCTATGGCAGGCACCATTCAAACCTCACACTGATTCTGAGCAGTCACTTTGGGGCTCACAGCGAGAGGTCCATGCACCCCAGAAGCTTTGCTGACTTCAATATGAAGTCTATATTTCTGGAGTTTATCTTTAAAAGTTTTTTTTTTTTTTCCTTGAGGAATTTTCCTAGTCCTGGCATCTTTCTGTGCTGTTTGCTTTCTCCTTTTTGGTTGATAGAAACCATAAAGTCTACCCAATGCTACCCAATGAATCATAGAGGAGGTATAATCTAGCTCCTGGGCTCCCAACAAAGGAAGCAAGTCAGCTCCATGCTGCCAC